AAGGAGGAGAAAGAGGAAGAGGAAAAGGAGGAGAAAGAGGAAGAGGAAAAGGAGGAGAAAGTAGTAGTAGTAGTAGTAGTAGTAGTAGTAGTAGTAGTAGTAGTAGTAGTAGTAGTAGTAGTAGTTGTTGTTATAATGAAAAATATGATTTTGAAATGAAACCAAGATAGTTTTACCCTTTCAGAAATCAGTATTGGAGAAGTGACCTACAGTTGGCAATCACTAATAGAATCTGGAATCCTGTTCAAATGGAAAGCAAGCTAACTGCTACTTGAGCTCTGCTTAAGAGCATAGATAGGGTACACCTCCAAAATCAGATCCACATTAATTTGAAAAAGGAGCTTAATCAATTTGAAACAGATCACAGAACATGTTCTTCTTGCTACTCTCTTCCATGTCTTGGGAGAAGCTTTGTAGATAGCTAAGGATGAAGGTTTTCTTTTGTATCTTAGCAACTCAGCAATATTGCATCTCCCTAGACTCATTATATCCGATTTTGACCAGATTTTATGCCTTGTGCCGGCAAAGGGGTGTGTGTGTGATATGTGTTTATATTACATTTATGCTATATTAATCTCAAATCAGATCTTTGTACAGATGGAGGGGAAGGCTATGGATGCTCACAGCAGAATTCATTACACTACCGATTATAAATTATTGCCTCTGTAAATTAATACAGTATTGTTTTTAAAGGCTAATTGTGATGAAAAGAAAAATTGCTGGCTTCTTTTATGATCATGTTAGCAATATTCTTTGTGCATGTTTTTACCTACATGATGTCACAAGAAATTCATCCAAAATAAAGATGTCAACATTCACTCTTAATTAACTATTGTTGTACCCAAAATGGGTCCTAGCCTGGCATCAAAGTCAATAAAGACACAAGGAATGGCATTTTCAACTTCTTTTATTGGAGTACTGCAGCAAAAGGATCTCAGCAGCTAAAGAAGCCAAGACACTGAACAATGCACAAATATAAATTTTATACAGCTAGGATTAAGGAAGTTAATACCCTAAGACATTGATTCCTTGACACGTTTCCTTTGATTGGATTCTTTTACTTTATCCTCTTTCATACATCACATTTATTATTAATAAGCTTTCTTATCAAAAGATGTGTTTTTTAATATTATAATAAACTAGAGGTTACCAAAGTGTATACATT